ACACACACACACACTCTCTCTCTCTCTCTCTCTCTCTCTCTCTCTCTCTCTCTCTCTCTCTCTCTCTCTCTCTCTCTCTCTCTCCCTCTTGCTTCGCGAGCACGTGTTTTCACTGCATTCCCTTCACTCACACACACACACATGTACATTCACACGCATGTACGTGCATGTCGGCGCTTGCAGTTCCAGCCGGACTCGCCTGCCCCGTTTGCGTCTGTGCCGTACCGCCGCTCCCTCCTCACTACTCTCTTCTACAAGAGCATGCTCGCTGCCCTCCCCTCCATCAGCCCAAAGTCAGCACATGATGCACACACACACGCGTGCACGCGTTCTCGCACACATATCTAGCCCGCCCTTTTGCACTGAACGTGTCACCGCCACAGGTAATGACCACGCACCAGCGAGCTCACTCACTCACTTATTTCTTTCCCCCTCTCCTCCATTCCTCCTCTCCTCCATTCCTCCATTCCCCCCTGCTTTCCGTTCCTTCCGTTCCCTGTCGTCACTGCAGGGTTGCCTCTGCTGCAAAGCCGTATGTGCGGCCCGTCACCAGCGGCGAGCAGAGCTACGACACCGACCCGTCCCTCTACCCGGTCTCCCAGCCGCTGCCAAAAGTCTCCGCGTTCATGCAGGTCAGTTGCATCATGTGCACGTGTGTTTTGGGGAGGAGAGGGTACCACGCACGCGAGCGTACACAAGGAACGCACGAGGCAATACACGCGCACATGTAGTAATGGCAATCGTTTCTTCTTCGTACAATATCTCACGTCTCTCCCCCACTTTCTCTCCCTCTCTCTGTGTCGCTTTCTGTTTCTCTGTGCACCACCAGACGACTGGCGAAGCGCAGTACACGGATGATGCGTTTATCCGCCCAGGCTCCCTCTTTGCCGCTTTTGTCCACGCAGAGCAAGGTGCGCTCGCCCTCTCGTTACAGGGCGTGGCCGTGCACGTGTGTGCATAATAATAATCACACGTTACGGCGTCGTTTCCATGCGTGCTGCAACGTGCACACATGCACGCGCGCGTGCATTGCCCAATTTCCCTCACTCACTCACTCACTCACTCACTCACTCACTCACTCACTCACTCACTCACTCACTCACTCACTCACTCACTCACTCACTCACTCACTCACTCACTCACTCACTCACTCACTCACGCACTCACTCATTCACACGCATACGCACACGCACACCCACACACACACACGCACACACGGGTTTGGCAGGCAACTGCACGCTCGCCTCTGTGGACAGCAGCGCCGCGCTGCACATGGACGGTGTGGTTGATGTGATTCTGGGCAATGACATGGGCGTGACATCGCCCGTTGGCGGTGACGGCCCCGACCAGGAGCCGTGCCTCGTCAAGGTCTGCTGTCATGAATGTTTATGCGCACATCCACATCCACATGCACGGTTGCAGACACACGACTGACGAGAGATAGTGCAGGAGCACCACGCTCGCGCACCTACACGCACGCATCTCACACCACACATACACCTCCCAAAACAACTCCCCTCTGTCCTTTCTGCTGCTTGCTGCGCCCCAGGTTGGCGATCGCATTCTGTTCAACGGCCAGGCGTACGCTGTTGTCCTCGCCACCACCCAGGCCAAGGCAAACGCAGCTGCGAAGCTTGTCACAGGTTCGCATGCGTCTGTGTGTTTCCGCCTGCGTGTTCCGTGTGTCTGTGCGTGCTATCAACGCAACCGCGCACGCACATCGCTCACGCACACCTTCGCCTATGTTCCTCTCTGAGACACTTTTCGTTCGTTGTTCCCCGTCGGCCCTTAACCTTCCTCTCACCTTCCTCTGTCCCCCCCCCCTTTGCCGCTGTTGCTGTGTGTCTGCTGTGCAGCCAAGTACACGGATGTGAAGCCCGTCATCACCACCCTCGACGATGCCATCGCCAACAAGTCGTTCTTCGACGCGCAGGTCCCGCCCGTCAAGACAGGTGAGCCCGCACATGGCACAGCGCCTGTCTGTGTGTGTCTGTGTGTGTGTGTGTGTCTGTCTGTGAGCGCTAGCTTTTCTTCATGGCAGGAGGCGTATGCCTTTTGTTGCCACGGTCAGCTTGCCCCCCTCCCCCTACCGCCTCCCTGACCAACAATACCCGCTCAACCATCAACGTGGCTGCCATGGCAGGCAAGGACATCAAGACGGCGCTGCAGGAGTGCGATCACGTCATTGAGGGCGAGGTGTCCTGTGGTTCCCAGTACCACTTCTACATGGAGACCCAGACAGCCATGGCCTTCCCCACCGTACGTTTCTCGTCGTCCCATGTGCACCTGCCAACACTAACTTTGTCTCTCTGTCTGTCCTTTGTGTGTGTGTGTGTGTGTGTGTGTGTGTCTCTCTCTCTCTCTCTGTCCTTTGTGTGTGTGTGTGTGTGTGTGTGTGTGTGTCTGTCTGTCTGTCTGTCTGTCCTTTGTGTGTGTGTGTCTATCCTTTGTGTGTGTGTGTGTGTGTCTGTGCGTCTGTGCGTCTGTGCGTCTGTGTGTGTCTGTGTCCCTGTATGTGTTTGTATGTGTCTCTCTGTTTGTCTCTCTGTCTGTCTGTGTGTGTGCTTGTCATCATGTCCTTGTGTTCAGTCAACCCCGATCCTCAACCCACGTCCCCACCTCCGCGCGCTTCATCATCATCACCGCGCATCGCATCACCTCAGGATGACGGTGGCCTTGAGCTCCACGCCTCAACGCAGAACGTCTCCGACACGCAGCTGTTTGCCAGCCAGGCCACGGGCCTCCCAGCTAGCAAGGTGCAGTGACTTTGCTGGCAACTGTGCGTGTATTAACGTTCATAGAAAGCATACGTTGTCCGCTGCGCGGCTTGTGACGCCAGTGAACCGTGTACACCCTCATGCTCTTGTCACGTGCACACATGGTCTCATACGCATGCACACATACGTTCTTTGTTCAGATCAACGTGGTGATGAAGCGTGCTGGTGGCTCGTACGGCGGCAAGATCACCCGCTCCTGGTTCACCGCGGTCAGTTGCCTCGCTGCTGTCGTCGCAATACGAGACAGCGGTGGTGGTGCTGGTGCTGGTGGCCGTGGTGGTTGTTGTGGTGACAACAGTGAGAAGAACGTTGTGAGCAACAGAGGGCAATCTTGGCTTGGTGGTTAGCCTTGGGCTTCAACTTGTGCGTTGCTCACGCTGCTTACATCCTTGCTTCGCTTTGCGTATGCTTGTCCACACACTTGCTGCTGCCGCTGATGATGGTTTGATGCTTCGTGCAGACTGTGGTTGCCTACGCGGCCAACAAGCACAACCTCCCTGTCCGCTGCGTGCTTGAGCTCCACAGCAACATGCGCCTCGTCGGAAAACGGTGTGTTCATTCGTATGTGTGTGTGTGTGTGTGTGTGTGTGTGTAGATGGGTTTCTCTGTCTGTCTTTGAGCGTGGCTCTGCTCTTTATCCGTCATTTTTGTTTTCCCCAACTCAATATCCTTGGCTCCCATGTCATGTCGCCACACATCATCGCCCAACTACTGCTTCAGCCACCCGTTCAAGTGCGTGTACAAGGTGGGCACCCTCAAGTCCAAGCTGCACGCCGTCGACATGCAGTGGTGCGTACACAATGTACACGTGATACAAACACGTGTTGCCACTGGAGTGCAAGCGTTGCTTCCTGGTCGGAGAATGGTGGCGGACTCATGAGGGCAATGTCGCAACCGACTGCCTCGTGGTTCTTGTGCTGTCTGTTGATTTGTCGGACTGTTGGTTGGTTATGTTCTCTTCCTTCCTTCCTTCCTTCCTTCCTTCCTTCCTTCCTTCCTTCCTTCCTTCCTTCCTTCCTTCCTTCCCTGTCTCTCCTCTTCCTCTCTCCCCTCTCCCACCTGCTCCCCCCTCGCCTTCCTTCACCCCTCGTCTCGCCTCGTCTCGCCCACCGCTTCTTGATGCCGAACAGGTATGCGGATGCCGGTGCGTATGTGTTTGACAGCGACGGCACAATGGGCCAGGGCCAGACGGCGTGCGACGCAGCCTACTACTGCCCCAACTGGCAGGTTGTCTCCACGGTGTGCCAGACCAACACGCCAAGCAACACCGCCACCCGCGCCCCCGGCTGCCTGCCCGCCGTCTACATGATGGAGACAGTCATGGACCACCTTGCCAAGTCGCTCAAGGTGGACCCATCCACCTTCCGCCAGAACAACGTCTACCAGCAGGGGCAGGTAACTATGACAAACGTTGTTTGTTTGTGCGGGTTGCATTGTGGCATATTATTGCATGAGCTGGCAATGTACTCTAATCCTGTCCCTCCCTCGTTGCGCAAACACACACACATACACACACAACTCTTGCTTTCTTCCACACACAACCCTTGCTTTCCTCCACATACAACCCTTGCTTTCCTCCACGCATTTCACACGCACACACTCACTCACACACACACACACACACACACACACACACTCTCTCTCTCTCTCTCTCTCTCTCTCTCTCTCTCTCTCTCTCTCTCTCTCTCTCTCTCACACACACACACACTCCCTCTCCGCCTTTCTACCTGTTCAGATCACGCCGACTGGGATGACGCTGCGCTACTGCAGTCTCTCGCATCTTTGGTCGCAGTTCCTCGACGCCATCGGCTACGACGCACGCAAGAAGGCCGTCGACCAGTACAACGCCAACAACACATGGACGTGCGTACACGCATGCGTGTCTGTCTGTTTGTGACCGTGCAAAGATCCTGCCCCACAACCCTTCCTCTCCCCCCCCCCACCTTCCACTCACACCTTGGTCATTGTTTTGTTCTCCTCCGTGGGGGCACACCTACCCTTCCTCTCCGATTTGCATGTCACCATGGCAGGAAGCAAGGGTTTGCCATTGCGCCCAACAAGTACGGCTTGGGCGTGGGCGGGTTCTACCACGTGTCCACGCACGTCCTCGTGAACGGTGGCGACGGCACTGTCGCTGTCACCTGCGGCGGCAACGAGATTGGCCAGGGCCTCGACACAAAGCTCGCACAGGTTAGAAACTCCAGCATATGTGTGTGTGTGTGTGTGTGTGGGTGGGTGTGTGGGGAGGGGTGTGGGAATGTGAGAGTCTAAGGTAGGTCGGTGTTGGTTTATGTGCTTAGCTTTTGTTTCGCCTGCTTGACCGACGCATGCCCATCTCGCTCCCACCTTCATTCCTACCTGTCTCATCATCACCACCACCACCAACCACCCGTTGTCACCCACTACTTACCCTCCTGCTACACCTTCCAGGTTGTGGCGCAGCAGCTTGGCCTGAAGATGGAGCAAGTTGCCGTGCACAGCAACACATCGATGCTGCACGGCAACAACACCCCGACTGGCGGCTCGTGCACCTCCGACGCCGTCTCGTATGCCGCCATTGACGCGTGCCAGCAGATCAACACTGCCCTCAAGCCGCTCCGCTCAAAGAACCCGGACGCGTCCTGGGAGGAGGTCAGCTGGTCGCGCTCGTGTGTGTCGGGGGGGGGATGGCAATGAATGGGTGGCAGCTTGTGTGTTTCTCTGCCTGATTTTGTGTGTGTGTGTGTGTGTGTGTGTGTGTGTGTGCTTCCTCGTTGTTTCTTCGTGTTGACTATTCATCTTCCTCACACCCGCCCCGCCCCCAACTACTTTCCCCCACCCCACAACTTCTCCTCACTCATTGCTGCGTGCACCCCAACAGATTGTGGGCATGGCCAAGGACCAAGGCATCGACCTTGGTGCACGCGGGTGGTGTGCCAAGCCCGGTGCTGAGGGCGGCTTTGACTACAACTCGTACGGCATGGTTGCCAACCAGGTGCAGGTGGACATTCTCACCGGTGAAGTGCAGATCCTCCGCACCGACATTCTCTTCGACTGCGGCCAGAGGTTGGTATGCTTTGGTATGCTGGTGTGTCTGTCTGTGTGTGTGTGTGTGTGTGTGTGTGTGTGTGTGTGTGTGTGTGTGTGCGTGTGTGTGTTTGCTCGTGCTCCGTCGTGTTCACCTGTAAGTTTGTTGCTTTGGTCTGTGTACTTGTCTCTAGTCGTGCATTGCACGTGTGTGACTGCTTGCCTCTGGAATGGCGCTATCGTGCCCCTCTTCTCTCCTTCACCCGCTCCCTCCAACACACATGCCTCTTGCTGCCGCGGCTGCCACCGCCAGCATGAACCCTGCCATTGACATTGGTCAGGTTGAGGGCGGGTATGTCATGGGTCTTGGCTACTTCCTCACCGAAGAGATTCTCTACGACAAGAAGTCTGGCCGCCTCGTCACCGACGGCACATGGGAGTACAAGCCCCCATCCTCAAAGGGTGTGTTTTGGGTGTGTGTGCTTGCTTGCTTGTTGGGTTGTTTGTTTGTTTGTTTGCTTTGTTTGTTTGTTTGTGTGTGTGTGTGTGTGTTGGTTGTGCGTTTGTTTGTTTGGTTGTTTGCTTTGTTTGTTTTGTTTGCTTTGTTTGTTTACTTGTCAACCTGTCCACTTGCTCGTCCAACTGTCTGTAACAATGCGTTCGACATGATGCACAATACTCGCCCCCCCCCCCCTCCGTGTACCTTCCGACCTTAGACATTCCCATCGACTTCCGCGTGAACCTCCTCAAAAACGCACCCAACCCGGTTGGCGTCCTTCGCTCCAAGGGTATGTCGTTTGGCCTCGTGCTTCCGTCACCAGATGCCTGCACATACGAGACATGCATGCATGCATCGACACGTATGTGTGCAGTGACGCACACATGCATCGACACGCATACATGAGCACGTGTTCAAACTCGCACTCACATACGCACACGTGTACCCATGTGCACCTTCTCTCACACACACACACACCCAAACAATCCCCACCCTGCCACAGCCTCTGGCGAGCCACCAACGTGCATGGCGTCGAGTGTGGTGTTTGCGGTGAAGCAAGCGATTGAGAGCTCGCTGAAGGAGCGCGGCGAGATGCCGGACTACCTCGCTGTCAACGCCCCGCTCACCCCAGAGAACATCCAGCAGCTCTGCAAGGTCTCCCCGAAGCAGTTCTCGGTCTAACACGGTCCTCGGCCCGTTCACCTTCTCTGCCTCTCTCCATTGTTTTGTGCGTGTGCGCGTGCGTGTGCGTGTGCGCGTGCGTGTGCGTGTGCGTGTGCGTTGTTTGCACGCACAAGCCACCGCCACTGCCGCAATGACGGCGGCACGTGCGTTTGTTTGCCCACTTGCGTGTTTGCTTGCTCTTGTTTGTTTTCCATGGCTTTTCGTTCTCCCTCGCCACGACCAGCGCGTGTGTTTCTGCGTGCGCTGTGTCTGTCGTGGTGCTGCACTGTTCTGCTCGTTTTCGTGTTGCCATGTTTGCGTGTGCACATGTGTGCCGTCTCCTTGCGCTCTTGTTTGCTGCCTACCTTGCCCACCTGTCCTGTGCCTCGTCCTCCCGCTTTCCTCCAACACCCAATACACAGTTGATGTTCTAATGCACAAAACGTGATGTCGGTGATGAGGTGACAGCCACACCAACGCATCACATACCAACTGACCAGGCAGGAGAGAAGCGCGCGACAAGATCAAACCAAAGGGGGATTTGCGGTGTGTGGAATTGACGAATCAAGGGCAGGCCAACCAGCCACGCAACACACAAAACAAACGGTGTTGTAGCACAACAAAGGGTTGCCAATATCGCATGTCATGGTTCTGTCTCGTCGAATAGGCTGATTCTTCCAACGTTTGTGGAGAAGGCGAGTCTGTTGCTGGTGCTGCTTGACGCATTTAGCTCCTGCTCCGCCGATCGAAACGTCTGCCGGCCATACGTTTGCCGCAAGTCGCCAGGCCCCTCTCCAATGTATGGTGTCGATGCAAACACCGACTGCACATGCCCTTCCTCGCGCTTGTGTGTCTTGCTGAACCCGGCAAAGCGCGGCTGGTGCGCCTCCTCTGCTGCAACTCCGTCAGACGCGCGTTCAAACACCTTTGACGGGTCGACAGGGGAGAGGTACGGCTCAGCGCGCTTGAGGGTCACGCGGGGCGCGCGCGTCTTCATACGTACGACGTGCTCTGGCGGCTTGAACGGGCCCTGTGGTTTGCTGTAGAGGAGAGACGCGTCAACAGGTGCTGCTGTCGATGCGGTCTTGCGCGGGGACGGGCCGGGCGGCGGCCGCGGTTTCTGTTGTGCGCGCGCGCGCGCGCGCGCGTGTGTGTGTGTGTGTGTGTGTGTGTGTGTGTGTGTGTGTGTGTGTGTGTGTGTGTGTGTGTGTGTGTGTGTGTGTGTGTGTGTGTGTGTGTGTGTGTGTGTGTGTGTGTGTGTGTGTGTGTGTGTGTGTGTGTGTGTGTGTGTGTGTGTGTGTGTGTGTGTGTGTGTGTGTGGCGGGGGTTATGAGGTGTTGGTGTGGTTGCATGGGATAGCCATTATGGACCCACTCCAATGCGCTGACAGTAGGTGGGGCAGAAGGAGGTGACACAGGCATACTCGTAAACAGATATGCACAGGCAACACAGCCAGAGACGCCCACAACAACCACGCAGACGTACCCGCAGTGTCTGGAGTTTGTTGACGGTTCTGACAGTCACCTCCATGTCCTGCCCCTTTTCTTGCACAGCCAGCACCCCGCGTTGCTGTCAAACGTGCAGCAAGAACACACGTGAGCATTGCAATGTGTGTGAGTGTAAGTGTGTGTGTATGTGTGTGTATGTGTGTGTGTGTGTGAGTGTGTGTGTGTGTGTGAGTGTGTGCGTGTGTGTGTGTGTATGTGTGTGTGTGTGTGTGTCTGTTTGTTGATTCTGCGACAGAGTATGTGAGCATGGAGGCCTCCATCCGGCTCACCGCTCGCGTAGACAACAGCACGTGCTGCCGTTCTAACTCCCTCAACCGTCGCTTCTGCACAGAGAAACCACCATGTGAACAATAGGGGTGGTGTGAGCATAGCGCTGGGGATGGTATCATGCGCCACAGACGCGCAACACAACTCGACGCGCGCTCAATGAACAGATGCACAGTTGACGTTGACGGCGAACACACGCACATATGACACATATGACACAACAGACACACACGCACAACAAAGACACAAACAACACAACACAACACACACACAACAAGGACACAAGCACAACACAACACAACACACAAGCACAAAAGGCACGAATGGGCACCTTCTCTGCCTTTTCCTGTGCGGCTTGACGGCGGGCGGCCTGTTCCCGCTCAAACTCGTCTAGCTCATGTCTGCTCACGCACGGAATCGTGTCGTGTGCCACCGCATTAGATCGGTAGCTGTGTGGTCCAGACAAGCACGCAACCGCACAAGTGTACACACCCACGCGCACGCACACATCACATATACACACACGCAACCGCACACGCACGCACGCGCGCGACGAGACGCAGCTCACTTGATGTCGGCATTGTGTTTGCGGAGGGCTTCGAGGTACGCTTTTCGCGCGTAGTAGTCCAGACCGTGTTTCCGTTCGCAATACCCTTTCCATACAGCCTACAAAGACACACGCGTACAATGAAGTATGCACGCGACGAACTGCACATGAGCGCCTTCAGGGATCATCGCAGGTACACGGGTCGTGTATTTCAGTTGAGTGCCTGCAACATGCAGCCTCGTGCAGCGTACCTGTATTCTCGCGGCCATGGTGTTGTAGTGGTTTGTTCTGAGATCTTTCAGTTGCTGCTTCACCTTTCAATGCACGCAGTGCATCAAGAGTGAATGTGTGCCATCAATAAAATATGTAAGCAACGAATCGATGGTCACTCCAGTGCTCGTGTGCAATTGCGGATGGGGATCTCGCGTGGGGTACAGCCGTGGGCTGATTTGGTGGTATACGTACTGTGACTCTAAAGCGTTTGCGGCCCATGAGTCCGCGGAACGCCCTCTGTATGGTTCCTGCAGCATCGTGTAGCCGCTGCAGCGCTTTCCTCTCTGTGTATCCTCTCCAGCAACTGTCGGCAAAGCACACACCAAGCGTGTGTGTGTGTGTATGTGTGTGTGTGGGGTGTGTGGGTGTGTGGGTGTAAGCGCGTGTGTGTGTGTGTGTGTGTGTGTGTATTCTGCATGCGTTTTTACAAGTGCGTTTTTCGTGCGTGCGTGAAGGACGCAAGTGCCCATCATCCACCATGCGACACACCTTTGAATTCTGACGGCTGCATGCCATTCCCGCTCTCGGGCCTCCTCCGCATCTCGCTCTGCTTGCAAGTACAGCTCCCGAAACCTGCCAGTGCCATTCGTGCAGTTGGACATGCATCCAATAGTCAAACGAACGACCATTCAAAGTGTAAGATGTCATGCCATCCGCCACAACAAGTTCACCGTGGGGGCAAGTGCTCTCAGAGACAAAGTACAGCAGCACTATTGGGTTTCTTCGCCATTACCGAGCGGATTGGGTTGCGAGGAGGTCAAACAAGGAGCTGCTGCTCGCCTCCGTGCCGGCCTCTTCCAGCATCGCCTGCCTGCCTGCCTGCTTGCTTCTTGGTGTGGTTGGTTGCTTGCCTTCTTGGTGCCTTCTTGCTCGCTCGCTTCACTTCTTCTTCTTGGCAACAGCAAACAAAGGCAAAATTGCTCTTGTAAAAGTCAAAATTGACTTCTTCAATGAGAGCAGCACGCTGCGCTGGAAGCTGGTTCCAGCCAGTGGTCGCTTTGCTGCTTTGGGACTTTGAATTTCAGGACACTGTCACGACAGCTTGCTTGCTAGCTAGCTTCACTCCCTTTACTCAAGCACCTAAACATTCACAACAGAAGGTACTCGCTCAACACTACCTGCAAGCACTGGAATGAAATAGAAGGTCGGCTTGTTTGTAGGTTCTTGCATGTTTGTTAATTTTTTTTTGTTTTTTTTTTTGTGTGTGTGTGTGTGTGTGTGTTTTTTTTTTTTTTTTTTTGGGTTTGTTTGCTGCTCACCCACTTTATCACAGCCAGCTGCAGCACACACGTGCGTGTGTGTGGGTGGAAAGATGAGATACCTGAGATGCCTTTGCTCTTGATTCATGTCAACTCTGATTTCAGTCACAAAGCGCGAAAGTGCAAATACAATGAAAAGCCACAGTGGCAATGCTACCAATCCAATACCACGCGAGCAATGAAAACATCAATTAGAACATCAGTTACAGCGATCAAACGAACGATAGCGAGCAGGCAGGCAAGCGAACTGGAAACGTGTGACATGAAAAGACCTCAATCAATCACACACACACACACACACACACACACACACGAGCTGTTTAACAACATACAAGGGCAGGGACACACAGGCAGGCAGGGTGGGATGCAATAACCTTCACAAACAAAACACACGTGTGTGTGTCCAAGCTGGAATTCACATCACGACAGCTCTGTCACTGCGAGCTGCGAGAAGAGGCCGACACCGGCCACCACGAGGACAACGCTGACCACGAGCTTCAGCGTTGTCGCCTCCAACCGATGCGCAAGATACGCCCCTGCCCGCGTGTGTTTGCAATCGTACACGGACGTGTGTGTGTGTGTACACGTGTGTACGTGTGCATGCGTTAGCTCAGAGGCCAACAGGGCGAACATAAGCATGTTACACATTCATTGCACAGAAAACACCAGCCAGCGCGCGCACACAGGAACAGACACACAGACACAGACACAGGAACAGACAGACAGACACACACATACAGAGACACTCTCTCACACACAGACACAGACGCAGACAAAGACACAGACACACAGACAGGACATACACAGACCACCTCAGGGAGGGCAGCTACCTCACCGAAGCAAAGAAGGGGGACGAGGGTTGCGGAGAGAACACCGCCAATGGCAAAGTCGATGACGCCCGGCCGCCCAATCACATATGCAATCACAGACGCCACCGCAATCGGGATCTGTATTGCCTGCGCACACCTGTACATGTGTGTGCATGTGCATTGGAGTGCGTGGGAGTGCATATGGTTGCGTGAAGGTGCATGTCAGCGCGCGTTGCTGTGAGTAGGGTGCATGGGAATGTGCAGGGGTGTATCAGAAGCAAGGAGTACTATCACTATACCAACAACCACAGCACCACAGATGAGCAACAACGGCAGCTCGCTGCGTCCCCCCCCCGCAAGGCGTCGCGTACTCACCCCAAGGAGATGAAGATATCCCATCTGAGGCTGATGAGGATGGGGAGCAGGAGAACAGGGCCACTTGACCCCGTCAAGGCACTTGCAAACCCAACAAACACGCCAATTGCAAACCGCAGCACAATGTCCCTAACACAGCAAGAAGGCCGCAACAGGAAGACGAACAGCGTTAGGACTGACGCTTCACCCTCACAATCAACGTCTTGCAAGAGGGAAACATGATGCGTATTTGTCAACGATTCCACACAGACAGACACACACGCACAGACGGACAGACGGACAGACAGACAGACAGACAGACAGACAGACAGACAGACAGACAGACAGACACACACACACACACACACACGCACACACACACACCAAAACGACGCAGTCCACACCTGGTGGTGACGGGCCCTGTGATGACAAGTTGGCTATTTGCCTCCTCGTCTTTCGAGGTCATGGCACTATCGCCATCGATGCATCCGTTGGCTGTCGCCATCCGATCACCGTCTCCCTCGCCCTCACATCCTTCTTCCTGCGGCTGCTGCTGCTGTTGTTGTTGTTGCTGTTGTTGTTGTTGTTGTTGTTGTTGTTGTTGTTGTTGTTGTTGTTGTTGTTGTTGTTGTTGTTGTTGTTGTTGTTGTGCATCATCTGCATCGCCTTGCGCGCGTGTGCCCGTGGCTGTTGCGTCTTCGTCGTAAAAGACGTCAGCGTCCCCAAATTCGTTCTGCAGCGTCGATGTGGGCAGCCCTCCATCTCTAGATGTGCTGACACCCTCGTGCTGATGACGATGACGATGATGGTGATGGTGGTGATGATGGCGATGGTGCAGGGAGGACGCGTCGCTGTCAGCGCTGATGGAGGGCTCCTCGTCGCTGTTCTCCCAGGAGTTGTGGCGCGACACAAACGTGCCCGAGGACGACCGCCGGTGCTCCTCGCTGTGCGTCTGCTTCCATTCGACGACGCTGCGATACGTGGAGAAGATGGCCGACAGGAGGATGATGGTGTACAGCACGAGCTTGATGGCGAGGTCTGAGATGTGGTCTAGGGCAAACGGCGCGGCAATGGCGCCGGGCACAGACCCGAGCAGCAGCCACAGCGCGTGTGTCCACGAGATGGTCGACCCGTACATGTATGACCCGGTTCCCGCAATGCCAGCAAAGATGTACGAGAACAGCGATGACGCAATGGCCTCTTGCACCTGGTGATGTTGGGTGTAAGGTGAACAAACAAACAAATGTGAGCACTCGAGCAAAAACAAACAAACAAACAAACAAACAAACAAACAAACAAACAAACAAACAAACAAACACAGACAGAAACAGGACAGGTAGACACACACCCACACAAGCAGGTACACGTACGCAAACACACACACACACACAAACACAAACACAAACACACACACACATTGCTTCCACTTACGCTGATGTTGGGGAGTTGGATGAGGGCCGGCACGAGGATGATGCCACCAACACCAACCATGCCAATCATGATCCCTGCCACTGCGCCAATCACAGCTATGATGCCGTGCGTGGCGGCCAGCGACAACATCCTTGAGGTCGCCCGTTCAAGCAACACGGGGCCAGCGCAGCGCAGCAACAAACCAAACGATGCCTTTGTCGTGTGGGTTCAGCGTGTGACGAGCACGCCAAGACGTGTGTGTGAGTGTGAGTGTGTGTGTGTGAGAGATAAAGAAATCAGCAGCAGCTGCAGCAGCTCCAGCACAGTCTTGCGTTTGTTGGGCTGGCCTCTCTGCAGCAACGACCAAAGTGATGGCCATCTGCTAAAATCTTCATACAATTTTCCACCCACACGTGTTTTGCGCTGCACATGCACACACGCACACACACACACACACACACACACACACACACACACACACACACACACACTCCTCTCATCCACACACACGCACACACACACACTCTCTCACTCCCCAGCACCCGATCCCAGTAAGCAACCACAAGGATGGCTGATGAAGATATTTGCAAGTTCTTCCTGGAGGGCAAGTGCCGACGTGGGCACAAGTGCCGATTCCGTCACAGTAAACCAGGCGCAACCACACCCCGTGCCGCGGCACCGTCGTCTGCCTCCAAACGCGCAGCTCCGCCACCGCCGCCGTCGTCATCCTCGTCCTCCTCCTCCTCGTCATCATCCTCGTCCTCGTCGTCCTCTTCTGCCGCTTCCTCCGCTGCTTCGTCGCCGAAGCCTCCGGCGAAGAAGCTCGCTCGCAAGTCGACGACCACAACTCCAAAGCCGGCTGATGCCGTCAAGAGCAAGAGCACAGCGTCCACGCCCGCCAACACTGAAGCCACTCCAGTTTGCACCTATTTCCAATCAGGATCGTGCACGCGCGGCAAGAAGTGCCGATTCCTCCATGTCATCGACGTACGTGCACACACACACACACACACACACACACACACACACACACACAACACCACACACGCACATGCAAGGCATGGTGTTCCTTCCAAGTGTTGCTGTTGCCTGCCCTTTGCTTGTTCTCATACCACACTGCACCGCGCCTTCGCATACCTATGATACGCAGGGTACCAGTACATCTGGGTCAACTGGCTCCACGACAAAGCCGCCAGCAACCTCAGCAGCACCATCAACAGGCGCTGGCAAGGCAAGCTCATTAAAGGCCAAGGCAACGCCAGCAACAACCACGCCTGCTTCGAAGACGCCGACGACATACAAGAGCAGCGTGCCCCGGTTTTCGCTGGACGATAGCGACGATGATATTGAGAGTAACCTTGAGAGTGACCTGGAAACCGACAGCGACAGCGATCTCTTGTCGGAGAGTGACAGCAACAGCGAGAGCGAGCTTGGATCAGACACGGACAGCAGCAACAGCAGCGAAGACGAGGGGGACAAGGCCAAGGCTGCCAAGGCGCCGGCCAAAAAGGCTGCGTCCAAGACCAGCTCTTCAGCATCAAAGCCAACTGCAAAGGACGCCACAGCGAAGAAGGGTGAAGCTGTGATGGAATCAAAGAAGAAACAGACGAAGAAGACGAAGAAGGAGACGTCAGCGATGGCAGTTAGCAGCGACAGCAGCAGTGACAGCGAGAGTGAGAGTGGCAGTGAGAGCGACACGGAAAGCAGCGAGAGCAGCAATGCCGAACAGCCAAAGCAGAAGAAGGTCTTGCGGAAAACGCCTGCTACACCTGCCCCACCGGCCACTGTCGCCCGCACGAGCACGAGCAAGGCGAACGAGACAGCTCTACACCCGCCAGCCACCAAGACACCCGCCACCAAGGCCGGCAGCGGCAGCAGCAGCGGTAGTGAGAGCGACAGCGAGAGTGAAGCCAGCGAGGCTGCGACAGAGACGAAAGAGAAACACATGATGACAAAAGGAACGCGCGACCGGCTCGCGGCCAGCACACCTGCAACCATGCTCGCTGCGAAGCAGGCGACGTCTGCATCCACCACAGCACCTGCTGCGAGCAAGCGGGGTGCTGCCTCGCCCCTCGCTGGCGGTGATAGTAGTGGGGATGGTGGTGACGACACGCCAGCAGCCAAGAAGGCAAAACAGGCCATGCAGGCCGCGGTTGCCGCTGCAACGACAGCCACCACCGCCAGCATCACACAGCCCCAACAGCCCACACAACCCACATGTGCGGTGACACCAGCTGCTGCGCCGTCCAGCACAGGCGCGAAGCCAGCCCCACTCCCTACCGCCACCACCGCCACCACCACCACAACACCAACACCAACAACAGCGCGCGGCCCTCAAGGTGTGCGTGCGAGCAGCAACGGTGGTGTCAGCGGTGTGGATTACGTTCAAGCGCTGGTCGAACTGACGCGCCAGCACTCGCGGTTTGACAAGTCTTACACCAACATGTGGAGCCGTCAAGTCCAGGGCGGCTGGCAAGGTGTGTACGTGTGTGTGTTGTGTTGGTGTGTGTACATGTGTGTGTGTGCGTTGTTGTTGTTGTTGTTGTTGTTGTGTTGTCGTGTTGTTGTGTAGTATAAAGTGGGCGTACTTCCTGCAGAACACTGGAGTGTCTTGTGGATTTTGGTCTGTTCTTGACATGACTCAACAGCTTGAATCGGGCATGCCACGCTTTTGTCTAACGAAACACATACACACGCACACATGTATATACACACATATACCGACACAACGACCACCTCCCTTCCCCTCCGTCCAGAGGCGCGCTCTCCCCGTGGCCCGGCGGGCAGCTCAGCACACTTTCCACGACTTATTGGCATGGATTGCGAGATGGTTGAGACGACTGTTTCGCCAAACGCTGTTGCTCGCGTCACCATCGTTGCACACGGCTACACAAAATCAGGTGGGAATGGAGAACTTGTGGACAGGTGGTTGAAGCAAGTGATGGTGCTCATGGCTTGGGTCTACATTGCTTGCGTGGCGATGCGTGGGAATGTGCATGTGTTGGTGGTTGTTGCCCTGTTGCGCAACAGTACCAATTTCATTAACACTGCCTCCCTCCAGTTTTGCCACGCCAGCTGTCGCAACCCACACCTCTTTTTTTCCCCCATCTTCCCCCCTCACGCATTGTGATGATGGCGACGGTGTTTTGATCAGGCACGTTCCCAGCGGAGCCCGTTGTTCTTCTTGATGAGTACATCAAGCCGCCAGGTACATGCAGTTGTGTCGTTGGTACTCAATGCTCAATGAACCATCCACATTCTGATAGACGAATAATTATTGTTCTGTTGCCGTTCACGCGCTTTCAGCCATCCCACCACTATCACTCACCCACTCACCCACTCACCCACTCACGCACCCACTCACCCACTCACCCACTCACTCACCCACCCACTCACTCACTCACCCACTCCCTCCCCATCACTCACCACCACTGCTGCTCTGTTTGCTGTGGCTGTTGTGTCGTTGCTCTGCTTTGATATGTCCAGGTGATGTGACGGATTTCCGCACAGACATTTCCGGCGTGACACAGGAGAACCTCGACAACGCACTCACGCTCGAGCAAGTGCAGCAGGTAATGCACACGCATCACCACAGCAACCAATCTTCGCACTCTTTGTGTGTGCAACCTGTGCATGCGTGCGTGTGTGCGTACACTTGCGTGCGCATCGACTCGTGTACACATGTCGTGCTTCAAGCTGTCATTCGCATGCGCACTGCCAATATGTCCTCATTTGCTCATCCAACGTGTTTTCACGGCCCCTACCGATTCACACTCCACCCTCCCCCCACCGATTCTGCTTTGCTTTTGGCAGCACATTTTTGAGGTTGTGCACACCGACACGGTGCTGGTTGGGCACTCGCTCAACTTTGACCTTGAGGCCCTGCACATCCGCCACCCGCACGTCATTGACACGTCGTTTCTCTTCCGCGTCGCATCAATGCCAACTCGCATCTTTGCGCTCAAGGACATTGTTGACCGCGTTCTCGACTGCGAATGCCAGCCGCTCGGCCAGGCACACAGTGAGTTGTTCCGTGTTGTGCGTGAGTGGGTTCTTGTGCGTGTGCGTGTGTGCGTATGTGTGCATGTATTTGCCTGTGTGTTCTCAACGCATGCGCGCGTGTTGTGCGTCAACGACTTTCACATATCATCTTCGGCTCCCCCCTTGCTCTTGTCGTTTAGACTGCATCCTTGATGCGTTTTGGCCCCTGGAACTCGTGCGCTACGTGGTGGACAACTTGTCCACCGTCGGCGCCACTGTTTTTCAGCCGCCGCAGCCACACAGCCAAGGCCGCCCTGTGCCCCACCCCATCTTCACCGTGGACCTCCCCGAACCATTCCTCACCCGCATGGAAATTGTTGGCCTTCCACCAGGTACATTGCGCGCGCGCGTGCGTGCGCGTGCGTGTAAATGTGCGTGTGTGTGTTTGCGTGTGTTTGCGTGTGCTTGCGTGTGTTTGCGTGTGTGAATATATTCGTGTGCGTGTGTGTGTGTGTGTGCATGTATTTTGATTGATTGCACACGCTTGTACAGCTACCTCTTCCTCTGCCAGTGCGACCACAGCACAGCGCGCGTCCACTTCTCCCAACGCCACCCACCCCTTCTCACCCCTCTCCCTCACTCTTCAACATACTCGACCAACCCGTTCTGGTTCAGATTTGACGCAGGAGGCGCTGACGGAGATGTTGCAGTCGCACGGGTGCGAGATTAAGCCCGATCTCTACACAAAGTTCAACGCCGGCAACGGCAGGAACAAAGGCCAGGCGAAAATCAAGTTTGCCTCCCCAGACACCGTTTTGCAGGTGAGATTGCGTGTATTGGTGGTTTTGTGTGCGTGCGTGCGTATGCGTGGTTGTGTGTGTGTTTGTGTACATGTTTGTGCGTGTGTTCGTGTGTGTGTTTGTGTGCGTGTTGGCATGTGTGTGTGTGTGTTGGTGTGCGTGTTGGCATGCGTGTGTGTGTGTGTTTTTGCGTGTGCGTGTGTGTGTGTGTATCCGTGTGCGTGTGCATGTGCGTGTGCGTGTATCTGTGTGTTGTTGCGTGCGAGCATGAGGCGGACACGCGTTTTCGTTGACTTGGAACACTTCCGAGAACGGCTTGTCAACAGTTGCTCACACCTGTCACGCGTTTGCGCGACTTTGTATCCCCAGGCGTTTCTTCAGCTTCCAATTGATTACATGCACCAGACGAGCGACCACTCGTTCATCAAGCAGCTCGTGCTCCCCTCCAATGACGTATGCGGTGCCGTTTCCCAAGTCCATGCGTGGTGCTGCGCGTGTCGTGTTTTGCTTCTCCTCTGGCAATTCGTTCTGCACATCTCCCTGCGTCCAAACCAAAAAAACCCCTCGCGGCTCCGGGGTTTTTTTTTCTCCCCTGTCGATAAACAATTAAACACGCATATAGTTTTGGTGTTTGGTATCGTTACAGGTACTCAATGTGAGTCACGGATGCGACGGGGGTAAGTCGTTAGTGGGTTGGAGGG